GGGCTGGGGGGCCAGCAGCGGCTGGGCCGGGGGGCACAGGGTGCCTGACACCTGCTCCCCCCGCACCCAGACCAGCGTGTGCCGTGTGGCCAAGTGCCCCGACTTCACCACCACGGGCCGGTGGGAGGTGGTGACCGAGAGCAAGGGGAAGCAGGAGGCAGCCATCTTCGATGCCGTGCTGGTGTGCACCGGGCACCACACTGATGCGCATCTCCCGCTGAGCACCTTCCCAGGTACCACGCTGCATGCTGCTCGCCTGCTCCCTGACAACCCTGGGAGCACCCTCCTCTCCAGCTTAGCCCCTACTCCAGTCTGGCTGCTGCCAAAAATGCCTCCACAGGTTAACACACCAAGTGGGATTGCACAAGCATGCTGCTGCCCCACCCATCTTGGTGTCTGCCCTTGGTTGCTCTTGCCATGCCATCAGTGCCTGACCAGCATGGCACCCTCCCACTAGAGCCAGGCTCCCTGAGCTGCTGGCCATGCATCCACTGGGTTCTCCAGCTCCCCAGCTAGGCTTCAAAGCTTGGCACTGGTGGTGGGCTTCTCTTGGTGCTAGGCAAAATAACTTGAGGGCTGTCAGTTTTGGAGACCTTCTTTGAGTGGGAAACAGGCTGGAGTGCACCGTCACCACGGTTTGGTGGGATGGCACAGACCCCAGCTGCTCCTCTGCCCTCAATGCCCAACACAGGGCAGGAACTGCAGGAAGACTTTGGGATGGCAGCATGGAGGTCTCCAGACCAAGACCTGCTCCAAACCAGGGCAGGCCCAAAACCAGAGCAGGATGCTTAGGGCCACACTGAGCATCTCCCAGGCTGGAGATGCCACTGCCTCCCTGGGCATCATCCCAGGGCTGCATTGCTCCCATTGGTCATGCTGATCCCAGCCTGTTCCCAAAACACACCACCAGTCTGAGCAGGAGGACAGCCACCCCCTGCCCCACATCCCTGCCTGGCATGGCTTCCCTCTCTCTTCCAGGGTTAGAAAAGTTTGAGGGCTGGTACCTGCACAGCCGGGACTACAAAAGCCCACAGTCCTTTTTGGGGAAGCGAGTGGTCGTTGTCGGCACCGGGAATTCAGGCATCGACATCGCGGTGGAGCTGAGCCACACAGCCAAGCAGGTGTGGTGGGAGAGCCGCCGGGGCTGGGGTGCTTATTACTCGGACCCTGGAGGGCACTGAGCGACCCTCTGCCATCCCTTGGGGTCTCCCCTCCCTCCAGCACCACAACCAGCCATGAGCACCCTGTCCCCTCTCGACTGGGGTGGCTGTTGTGGTCCCAGCAGCTGTGCTGGCAGCCCAGCCCAGTCCCGAGGATGCTGCCACACCACCACCTCCCCTCTCCTTCCTCCCAGGTCTTCCTCAGCACCAAGCGCGGGACCTGGGTGCTGCACCGAGTGGCAGATGGCGGGTACCCCTTCGACTTCTCCTACATCAGCCGCTTCGTACAGCTCCTCCACAACCTGCTGCCTCAAAACGCCAGCAACTTTCTCCTGGAGAGGAAGGTGAACTCCCGTTTTGACCATGCACTCTATGGCCTCCAGCCCCAACACCGGTGAGTGCCTCAGCGGCAATCTGCCCAGTACTGCCCATCCCACTGCCCAGGCCCCACAAACAAGGTCTATCTGTGCTTTCCAGGATCCTTGACCAGCACCCGACCATCAATGATGACCTGCCCAACCGCATCATTTCAGGCAGAGTGCTGGTGAAGCCGAACGTCCAGGAGTTCATGGAGACATCTGCAGTCTTTGAGGATGGCACCAGGGAAGATATTGATGCCGTGGTCTTCGCCACAGGATACAGCTTCTCCTTCCCCTTCCTTGAGGGCTGCGTGAAGGTGGTGGAGAACCAGATCCCCCTCTACAAATTCATGTTCCCTGCCAACCTGGAGAAGCCGACACTGGCT